AGACAAAGAAAGAATCTTAAAGGAAGCAAGAGAGAGACAGAAAGTTACCTACAAAGGAGTTCCCATTACACTGTCAGCTGATTTCTCAATAGAAACACTGCAGGCCAGAAGGGAGTGGCATGAAGTATACAAAGTAATGCAAGGCAAGCATCTGATTCCATGACTACTCTATCCAGCAAGACTATCATTCAAAATTGAAGGTGAAATAAAGAGCTTCACAGGCAAAAAAAAAAAAAAAAAAGCTAAAGGACTTTACCACCACCAAACCAGCACTGCAAGAAATGCTAAAGGGACTGCTGTAAGAAGAAGAAGAAATGAGAGATGGGTGGGGGGGTGGGGGAGAACACAGGCATAAAATAAAAAATGGCAACTAATAAGTATCTATCAATAATAACCTTAAATGTAAATGGCTTAAATGCTCCAATCAAAAGACATAGGGTAGCTAATTGGATAAGAAACCATGACCCATATATATGCTGTCTACAAGAGACTCACCTCACAGGAAAAGACTCACATGGGATGAAAGTGAAGGGATAAAAAAAAATTTCCAGGCAAATGGAACTGAAAAAAAGCTGGTGTAGCAATACTCATATCTGATAAGATAGACTTCAAAATGAGGGTTATAATAAGAGACAAAGATGAAGGTCACTACATAATATTAAAGGATCAATCCAACAAGAAGATATAACCCTGGTAAACATATGCACCAAAAACAGCAAAATATATTTAAAAACTTCTGGAGGACATCAAGGGAGAGATCAATAGCAATACAATCATAGTGGGTGACATTAACACCCTACTGACACCACTGAATAGATCTTCTAGACAAAATATTAACAAGGACACAGTCCTTAAAGGACAAACTAGATCAGTTGAACTTGATTGTTATTTACAGAACATTTCACTCCAAAGCTGCAGAATATATATCTTCTCAAGTGCACACGGGACATTCTAGAAGATAGACCACATGTTAGCACACAAAGTAAGTCTTTACAAATTCAAGAAGATTGAAATCATATCAAGGATCTTCTCAGATCACAATGGCAGGAAACTAGAAATCAATTACAGCAAAAACCTTCAACACATGGAGGCTAAATAGCATGTTATTAAACAATGAATGGGTTACCAAGGAGATCAAGGAAGAAATTAAAAACTTCCTGGAAACCAATGAAAATGAACACACAATAACACAAAATCTATGGGATGCAGCGAAAGCAGTCCTGAGAGGGAAGTTCATAGCACTACAGGCCTACCTCAAGAAACAAGAAAAATTACGAACTGACTTTCTAACCCTACAACTTAAAAAACTAAAAAGTAAAACAAAAAGAAAAACTCAGAGCAAGTAGAAGGAAAGGAATAGTAATGGCTAGTTGGAGGCAGTCAGCCTACAGATGAGGAAGTGAAGAGAGGGAAAAAAAAAAGAAATCAAAACAAAATCCAGTACCCATTTCTGATAAAAACGCTCAGCAATGTGGGAATAGAAGGATCATATCTTGGCATAATAAAGGCCATATATGAAAAACCTACAGCCAACATCATATTCAATGGACAAAAACTAAAAGCATTTCCCTTCAGAACAGTAACAAAACAGGGATGCCTACTTTCACCACTCTTATTTAACATAGTACTGGAAGTTTTAGCCACAGCAATTAGACAAGAAGAAAGAATAAAAGGGATCCAAATTGAAAAGGATAGAGTGAAACAGCCATTGTTTGCAGAAGATATGATATTGTACATAGAAAACCCTAAAGACTACATAAAAAAATCTACTAGAGCTAATAAATGAATTTGGCAAAGTAGCAGGATACAAAATTAACATTCAGATATCAATGGCATTCTTATATACCAGTAATGAACACTCAGAAAGGAAAACTAAAAAAGCAATCCCATTTACCAGTGTGGCAAAAAAAATGAAGATACTTAGGAATAAACTTAACCAAAGAAATAAAGGACCTCTTCGCAGAAAACTACAGGTCATTGAAAAAAGAAATAGAGAAAGATATAAAAAAGTGGAAGCATATACCTTGTTCATGGATTGGAAGAATTAACATAATTAAAATGCCTGTACTAGCCAAAGCAATGTATAAATTCAATTCAATGCCCATGAAAATACCAACAACATATTTCACAGAACTAGAACAAATATTCCAAAAGCTTATATGAAACCAAAAAAGACCCTGAATAGCCACAGCAATCTTGAAACAGAAGAACAAAGTAGGTGGGTTCACAATATCAGATATTAGGTTATACTACAAAGCTACTGTAATCAAAACAGCCTGGTACTGGCGCAAGAACAGGCATATAGATCAACCGAGCAGAACAGAGAACCCGCAAATAGACCCTAGACATTTTGTTCAATTAATATTTGACAAAGCTGGCAAGAGCATACAGTGGAGTAAAGACAGACTGCAATAAATGGTGTTGGGAAAATTGGACAGCTACATGCAAAAAAATGAAGCTAGACCACCAACTTACACCCTACACAAGAATAAACTCAAAATGGATAAAAGACTTAAATGTGACTCGGGAATTCATAAAAATCCTAGAAGAAAATGTAGGCAACAAAATTTCAGACATGACATGTAGCAGAATTCTCACTGATACATCACCTAAGGCAAGAGAAACAAAGGAAAAAATGAACACAACTAAAAAGCTTCTGCACAGCCACAGAAGCAACCATCAAAATGGAAAGGGAATCTACTACATGGGAGAGAATAATTGCCAGTGTTATATCAGATAAGAGATTAATTTCCAAAATATATAGAATACTCATACAACTCAACAAAGGAAGACAAAGAACCCCATTAAAACATGGGCAGAGGGCCCTGGCTAGTTTGGCTCAGTAGTTAGAGCGTCGGCCTGTGGCCCAGAGGAACCTGGGTTTGGTTCCTGCTAAGGGCACGCACCTTGGTTGCAGTTTGTCGCCGGTCCTGGTTGGGTCGTGTGATTTGGCAGCCACTCTATGTGTCCCTTTCACGTTGATGTTTCTCTCTCTCTCTCTTCCTCTCTCTCCCTCCCACTCTATCTGAACAAAAAAATGGAAAAATGTTCTCGGGTGAGAATTTTTTAAAAAAATGGGCAGAGGACCTAAATAGACACCACTTCAAACAAGACATACAAATAGCCAAGAGACATATGAAAAAAAGCTCAATGTCACTAATCATCACAGAGATGCAAATTAAAACAACTATGAGGTATCACCTCACGCCTGTCAGAATGGCCGCCATCAACACATCATCAAACAAGTGTTGGCGAGGGTGTGGAGAAATGGGGACTGTAGCACACTGCTGGTGGGAATGCAGACTGTTGCAGCCACTATGGAAAACAATATGGAGTTTTCTCAAAAAATTAAAAATAGAACTGCCATTTGACCCAGTGGTCCCACTTCTAGGAATATACCCTAAGATGCCTGAAACACCAATCAGAATCCCTATGTTCATAGCAGCCCTATTTATAATTGCTAAGATCTGGAAACAGCTCAAGTGTCCATCAGTAGATGAGTGTATGAAAAAGCTGTGGTGCATATACACAATGGAGTACTACGCAGCTGTAAGAAAGAAAGATCTCTTATCCTTTGAGATGACATGGAGGGACATGCAGAGTATTATCCTAAATGAAACAAGCTCATCAGAGAAAGACAAATCTCATATGATCTCACTTATTTGTAGAATATAATGAACAAAACAAGCTGATGAACAAAACAGGCCCAGAGACATAGAAGTAGGGTACAGACTGACAAACCCCCCTGGGGGGGAGGGACAGATAAACCACAGAATTTGTATGGCTGTATATGTAACCAATGGACATAGACAATAATGCTTGGTGGGAAGGGGGCAGGATCAGGAGGATGGTGTCTGGAGGGAAAAGGAGAAATATCTGTAACAAAAATAAATAAATAAATATATATATATATTAAGTTTATTATATTTATTGAATGAATATTTTGTGGGGTGCCTAGTATATACAAAGAGTCACCATGCCAATAATTTTGGAAAAGCCATTGAGCTTTGGGGACTTAAGTTTTCCTCTTGGAAAATAAAAATCCTTTACAAGGTGATCAGTAGGATTCCTTATACTTTTTTCTTTTTTAATTAACTTATTTTTGTTACAGATGTTTCTCCTTTTTCCCCCATTGACATCCAGTACTTAAAATTTTAGATCGGAAAGTCCTTAAACGTCCTTCCCCGATCAGCCAGTGCCCCAGGTTGGAAGCCTGGAAGCCGTGGCGCAGCTGGGGCGGCAGAAGGACAGTCCGAGCAGAGGAGACGCACGTCTCCCCACCAGTGGCCGGAAAAGGATCGCACAGGCCAGGAAGTTTCCCTTGGCAATGGCTGCAGGGTGACTTCTCCGGCCACTCGTGTCCCTGCCCGCCGCCCGGGATGTGCCCGCGAGCTGTGCGCGCGCTGCTCCTGCTGCTCGGGGCGCTCGGGGCGCAGACGGTGTCCTCGCAGGGCCGAGCGCGTGAGTGCGGGCGGGGGCGGGAGGAATGGGGGGCGCAACCGGCTGTCGTCGGTGCACCGGGCCCGCCGAGTTTGGGGGAGCCGTCGGCCCCGCGCAGCACCCTCCGCAACCATCCCTGGAGGACCAGGCCTTGGGCTGCTGGTGGGTTACGCGGCCTCCCTCCCAGCCCGAGCCGCACCCCGTTGTCCCCACTCTCTGGAGCGGCACAGGGAGCCACCTCTCCCTCCTTGACCTAAAGCTTCTAAATGTCAGTCTTTTCGTTTCTCTTGGAGGCGGAGCTCGGCTTTCGGGTCCTTGGACTCGGGTCTTGGGTTTCGCGTCCTTGTTGCCTGTTGTGTCATATTTCTCTGTACCTTCCTCGGGAAGTCCTCTGAGGGCCACCGCGGCCAGAGCGCCCCTTGGCCTGTCCACAGGAGGGGCCGCCAGGGCTGGGGCCCCGCGCTCTGGGGAGGGGGTGTGCGGAGGACTGTTGGGCTTGAAGTCCCCCCAGGTGAGACCAGGGGTTGAGGCTCCCCAGAGGTATCTGCCCCGGGCCTTAATGATTCTTCGAGACTGTTCTTCCTGAAAGCATAACTTCCCCGTTATTTTGGAACTGAAAAAGAAGTTCTGTTTTTCAGCCGTTGAATTGCAGTGTTAACAGCGCTGCTTAATCAGAGACCTTGACTGAAGGATGCGGAGATGAAAGTGGACGTGTAGTAACGGCCTGTTTCCATCACTTTCCTGTCTGTGATCTTACTGACTCCACTTTGGTTTGGGAGGTAGAAGCTATTCATATGTTGATTGTACTGGTGCTCAAGTTAAATGACTTTTCAGAGGTTAGAGATTTTAAGAAATGTGGTTCCCTAATGCTAAGTGAAGTACTAAGATTGTTTCTCATGGGCACAGGCTCAGTTCACCTAGTTGTCACAGCCTCCGGGCAACACGCGGAGGCCGAGGCGGAGCTGAGTCCGTTTGCAGGAGACACAAGAGGCATGCCGGCTCACTGGAGATTTTGTTCAGTGTGTCCCTGGGCTTCTGAGGCAGAGCTGTGCCCCCACTTCATAGCTGCTAGTGTTACATGTAACACTGCATTAGAGGTTAAATCATGCAATTTGATGTCGAACAAAGAATGTATTGTCACACTGTACAAGGACAACCAGCTGTGTGGCTGTACTGGGCCCAGGGGGAGAGCAGGGGGCTTAGTCCTACCCTCTGATATGATGCATTCTGGGCACCGGATTGACAATAAGCAAATGGACCAAAGGAAACAGTGGCAGTGGGCCTGTGAGCACATGTGAAGCAGAGGTCAGAACAGACTATGCAGGATGGCCTTTGAGCAGAGATCCAAATGGCTGTGCTGACTGGGGTCAGCACCTCCCAGATGTGCTGCGTAGACCTGTGAAGGTGGGTTGAGGTGGGGGTCACAACCTCCACACCCCTGGCATTTTGTTGTTGTGGGGACTGCCGTGTGTATTGTAGGATGTTATCAGCATCCCTGTTGTTTTTCACTAGATGCTAGGTGTGACAACCAAAACTGTCTCCAGACATTGCTGAATGTCCCCCACCCAGTTTACAGTCACAGGGCTGGAGCAAGCCAGGGCCACGCAGCAGGAGTGCAGGGTGAAGCCAAGAATGGTGCCGGACTCAGCACAGGAGCCACAGTCAAGTCCCCAGGGCCTGGCAGTCTCGGTGCGGATGCCAGCCAAGGGGTGGATCCCAGCTCTGAACAGGGTTGCTCTGTGGGGAGCAGGACAAGAGGAGCAGCAATGGAAGCTGGGAAGCTGTGCACTAGGTTGGACTGGGTTGGGGTGAGCAAAGGACCATGAGAGCCGGTTGTTTTTTTTGTTTTGCTTTGTTTTTTATATGTTAGCGGCAAATGTTAGATCTCAGTTCTTGAGTTTGGCTAAGAAAAAATTCAGAGACAAGAACTCTGGTCAGTGACGTTTATTTAGAAAGTCACAGAGGTGGGGGAAGTGAGCACTGGTGACATTCCATCCCTGGCCTGTTCCTGCTCTGCTCAGGGCTAACTAACTGCCTCCTCCACCAGACACATGTTGAAGGAAGCTCCCAAAGGACCTATGTGTTGTGTGACATAAAGAGAAGAGTCAAAGGTGACTCTGGTTGTTTTTGTTTTTGTTTTTATGGACCTGAGCAGCATAGTGATAGGTGATGCCATTTCCGAGATGGTGGAGGCAGAGCAAAGAGCAGTTTGGGGAAATCAGAGCAGTTTTGGACTTCAGTTTGAGATTCCAATCAGCCATCCAACTGGTGTCATGTAGGCAGCTGAGTGGAAGAATTGAGTTGAGGGCCAGAGATGAGGGTTAGGAGCCGTCATTCATTCATTCACCTAGAAGTCTGCAGTGAGCAAGGGCTCTGTGCTGCCGCTGTTCCCGGCACTGGAATCCACCCTGAACTCCCTTGCTCTGTAACTGAGGGGCCTTGTGGGCAAACTCGCCCAATGAGAGGTCATCTTGTCCTTGTGGTTTAATGGGGCTCCTTCAATTCTTTTGGAAGTGTCTTGGGGCTGAGAGGCAGCCCGGAGAGGCAGCCCCGAGAGGCAGCCCCGAGAGGCAGCCCCGAGAGGTTCATCAGCACACCTCAGCCTCTGTCAGCATTCAGGGACGCAGGTTTAGAGCTGGAAGCAGTAAAATCCCAACAGCAAATTCCTCTGGACTTGGAGCCAAATAGCTCTGAGCAAAAACTCCTGAGCTCCGTGCTGAATCAGTGCCACCGCCTGTGACACCTTGAGGATTTCTAGCTCCTGTTGGCTCCAGGGGGAACCTGTCCTAACTAGGCAAGTTCTGGGGCAGCCTGGTGTGGCAGCCACACTTGGCAGAGGCAGGACACATGGAGAGCAGAAAGGACAGTCACAGGGAGGGAAAGCACTGCAGTCACTGCACAGGCTGAGCCCCGACGAGCCTGGGGTAGGGGCTGATTCAAGAGGCTTCTGCCTCCCAGTCCTGCTGGACTTACAGTCACCTGTTGCCCTCCCCAGGGTCACACTCTCTGCACTATCTCTTAATGGGTGCCACAGAGATGGACTTTGGGCTATCCCTGTTTGAGGCCCTGGGCTACGTGGATGACCAGCTGTTTGTGTCCTACAATCACGAGAGTCGCCGTGCAGAACCCCGCGTTCCGTGGGGTAGGACCACCGGCCAGCTGTGGCTGCAGCTGAGTCAGAGCCTGAAAGGGTGGGACCACATGTTCATGGTCGACTTCTGGACCATCATGGACAACCACAACCACAGCAAGGGTAATAAGGGGTTGGATGGGGAAGGAGGGAGGCGGGCATTTGAGGTCATGAGGGAGCAGGAAGGAGATTTGACTTCCTGAGAGGCATGCAGGAGGGACAGAGTTTGCTTCCTGAGGTCCCCAGAGGTGGTGGAGAGAACAGCCAGTTCCTTTTGTTTCAGTAACAAAGCTGGGGGCGTTGCCAGAGCCCCACACCCTGCAGGTGATCCTAGGCTGCGAGGTGCTGGAGGACAACAGCACCAGGGGCTTCTGGAAATACGGCTACGACGGCGAGGACCACCTGGAATTCTGCCCCGAGCTGCTGAGCTGGAGAGCAGCTGAGCCCGGGGCCTGGGCCACCAAACTGGAGTGGGAAGTGAATAAGGTCCGGGCCAGGCAGAACAGGGCCTACCTGGAGAGGAACTGCCCCCAGCAGCTGTGGCAGCTGCTGGAGATGGGCACAGGGGTCCTGGACCGGAAAGGTAGGGCAAGGACACCTTCTGCCCCCATGCCCTATGGACAGGGTGGAGGGGCTGCTGGGCACAGATCCCCTGCTGGAGTTTCGAGGTGGCCAAAGCCATGTAACTCTGGGAAGGAGCTGAAGTCTGAGGTTTCTGCCCTGAGTTCTCCACCTTTTAAGTGAGACGTGTGACATGGCCACGAGTCGTGGCTTTAACTTTTCTCTCCATTCACGTGGCCAGAGATCTATTTGGTCTCTTGATTTAACCATGAAGCCTTCGAGCATTTGTGCCTTCTAAGAATCAGAGATTCAATTATCACGTAAACACCACACAAGCAACTCCCAAGGGAGGTGGCCTGTCACAATAGCTGCAGCCTTGGAAGCTAAGGGCCCTACAGGCCTCGGTCTTGTAAGCACACCTCCTAGGCTGCCCGGTGAGTTCGCCAGCAGCGCAGTCAGTAGTTTCCAGTGCGCGTGAAGGGTCATGTCCGTGGCTTCCACGTAATCTGTTAGCAAAGAGCAGGAGACCTGGCCCACGAGCAGGCACGTGTGCAGAGATGGCACCTGCTGGTAAGCCTGTGACTGGTCTGCCCGCGGCCCCACCTCAGAGCAGAATCCTGGAACATTCTTAGGACACGTGTTGTTGTCACTGCAGTTTGCTTGGTCTGAACAGGGTGTCCCCTTCCTGCCAGCCAAGAGGAAGCAAAGTGAAGGTCCTGGTCTGCCTGGCAAGGGTGGAAGGGTCCCCGCTCCAGATTCTTCCTCCTTCCTGCCCAGTGCCCCCTTCGGTGAAGGTGACTCACCACGTGGCCTCTGCAGTGACCACTCTTTGGTGCCAGGCTCTGAACTTCTACCCCCACAACATCACCATGAGGTGGCTGAAGGACAGGCAGCCACTGGACACCAAGGATGTGGAGCATGGGGACGTGCTGCCCAACGGGGATGGGACCTACCAGGGCTGGATGGCTTTGTCGGTGCCCCCTGGGGAAGAGCAGAGACACACCTGCCAGGTGGAGCACCCAGGCCTGGAGCAGCCCCTCATGGCCACCTGGGGTACGGATGAGCCGGCGCTGAGAAAACCTACTGTGGGTGGCATGGAGCGGTCACGGCGGGAGGGTGTGCCCGGGGCCAGCGGTGTTCATGGGCTGCTTCTGCTCCTTCAGAGCCCTCCAGGTCGGGCACCCTGGTCATTGGAGTCGTCAGCGGGGTCGCCGTTGGTGTCACCATCTTTACTGGAATTTTGTTCAGAATCCTACAGAGAAAGCAGGTTTCCGGTGAGTAGGAACACAGGGCCTCTCGGTACCTGCTTCCCTGCGGGCAGAGGGAGCGCGAGGGGCTGGCGACTGTGGGAAGCGTCTCTGCTGCCTGTCTCTGGGCGCTGGCCCCTCCGCGGGCAGGACTCACTGGGTTTCCTCAGAGTGGACGCTCCTGACTCCACAGGCGTCTCCTGGGCACCTGCTGCGTTTCGAGGTGCAGGAGAAGGCAGGGCGGGGGTGGGCTCGCTGCGGCAGTTCTCAGAAGCTGTGTTCAGGGGGCAGGGAATCCATGACGCAGTCCTCTGGGGAAGGCCCCTCCACTCTGAGTGCAGACCCGAGGCCAGTGCGTCGGGTGTCAAAGGAGGAACGGCCGTGATTAACTGGGGGCCAAGAAGGGCTTCTGGGTCTTTGTGCAGCAGGATTCCCTCAGGAAGGTGAGGGCCACCCAGACCAAGCAGAAATAATTATTGCTCCTCACCCTTGTCCCCAGCTCTGCAGGTCTGTCCCCCAGACCTCTGTGGTGTGAGGTGAGGGACAGCACACCTGCTCAGGCAGAGCCCTGGGGCCTTCGGGGGTCGCATCGCAAGCACTGGGAAGTCGGGGCAGGACAGGAGTGGGAGGGCCCAGCCTGGGAGGCAGAGAGCCTGGGTCGCAGGAGTGAGGCCGGCCAGAAGGCGGGTGAGCACCTCGCAGCAGAGAGTGGTGCTCACAATCCAGCTCCTTAGGGAGAACGTGGTCAGAGAGGAGGTGAGTGGGTGAAGAGGTGAGGGACAGGGACAAGGCAAGGTGATGCCCAACCTGTGATGCATCTTGTCTTTGCAGGAGGAGCCGTGGGGGACTACATTCTGGCCAGCAGTGAATGAGGTACAGCCTGCAGACCCCGGTGGGAGACACAGGGAGACTCAGAGAGGGTGTTCTGGTGAAGTTCTTGTCTCTGAGGACACAGTTGGGCTGACAGAAAGGAACTGGCCCATGACCTCTGCTCGTCACCATCCCCCATTTGGGGTTTGAGCTTCTACCTGCCGACATTCCCCACTGTGACCTCTCCCCATCTGGCTCTGTGAATCCTGGGCTGCTTCTAGAGCCTGCCTTGGCTTCCCGCATCATCTCAGACTCCATGCACCTGCATCGTCTCATGTCCGATCTCTGCAACAAGTGTCCTCAAATATGGGGGACTCAGGATTTTCCCGAACATGTGAGAAAAGCTTGAACCTTCTCCTCAGGGCATTCGTTTTCATACTACTGCCGTGCACACGTCCTGGCATTTCTGGGACCCTTCGAGTTTCCTTTCAATCCTCTGTCTCTGTCCTCCAGTGACTCACCTGTCCCTGGCCCTGTGGTCTCTTCCCTTGAGAGTGATCTGGATCACTGCGCGGCTGTCTAGGCTGCTCATGCCCCACAGCGAAAGGGGAGGAGGCACCTTCTTCACAAGAGGCATCATGGGTGTTCGTGTGTATCATGATTGTTTTGCAGAAAGTGGGTGGGAAGTGTCTCGAGGAGGGGGCCTTTGTTCTAGTGTGCACAGAGGTGTCATAGAGGGGTCTCCAGACAAATGCCACCTGCAGCACAAAGCCTCTCCGGTATACCAGACTGGAAATGGAGCAATAGTGTTCTCTGCTGACCCTTTGTCCTTGTTCTGATCATGAAAATGATGACGATAATGTGGCTGACACTTAGCACAAAGGCACTTGCTTGGAAACAGATTTGGTTCTGAACACCTACGTACATGCATTTCCTCCATGATTCTGACCGTAATTCTTTGATGCAAGAACGATTATCCTCATTTTTTAAATAAAGTAAGTGAAGCCCAGCTTGCCAGAGATTGAGACGGGTTTCAAACTCTGTCAGTCTGACTCTGATCCATCCCACCCACTGCATTCAGATGCTCAGCTATGTGGAGGGAACAGAGCAGAAAAGGCGCAGCTACCAGATGCTCCTCTCGTCTCCTTGTCTTTGTTCTCTGTGACCTGGACCCACATTCTGGGGAGACGGCAGCAAACAATCTCAGCCATGCTTCCTTTCAGAGTCCTGTGGGACGGACCCTGGCACATGGCCCTTACTGCTCCATTGCCACCACCTCTCTGCTCTCCCCACTGTCAATCTTAGGCACCGAGGTCGTGGCTGGGTTTCGTGGTGTCAGTTAGTGGCTGGGTTGGACCACAGGGTCCTCTGTACACCAGTGCCCCTGGAGTCAGAACCCTGGTGGCATTTCCCTCCATGTGCTGGAGCCACCTCTCATATTAAACATGGTACAATGAAAGCCACCAAATGGCCTGGAAGGTACCTGGCATCTTCCTGGGGCTCCTGGGGGTCTATTCTCATCCCCAACTGTGCACATTCAAAAAATGTGAGGTAGCCAGCCTCTGAGGAGTGAGTGGGCTCTGGTTCAGTGATGCCTCTGACCATGTTCTAATGCACATGTCCAGGCGGTCTCTGCTTTCCCGATGCTGCTGCCCATGTTTGGTTGCAAAGCTGTGGCACCAGGCAACCTGTCTGGGGGGGGGCGTGCGCCTCAAGAGACCAAATACAGCTCAGGAGTTTGCTGGTAGGTACTGACTTTGGGCAAAGAGATTCAACTGTTTTAAAAAAGTTTTCTTTTTTTCTGTTTGCAAAAGTTAAGTGCATAAAGTACATGTAATATGTGCTTACTGTAGAAAAGTTGAAAATGAATTAAATTGAAACTCATTCCATTTGCCAGTGATGAACTCTGTTAATAATGTGTGTTCCTCTCAATATTACTGCTATGTTAAAATATATAAAAGCATTGCCCTGACTGGTGTGGCTCAGTGGTTACAGTGTTGGCCTGAGTTCCAGAGAGACCCGGATTCGGTTCCCGCTAAGGGCACGTACCTCGGTTGCAGTTTGTCCCCGGCCCTGGGTGGGTCATGCGAGAGGCAGCCACTCGATGTGTCCCTTTCATGTCAATGTTTCTCTCTCTCTCTCTGTTCCTCTCTCTCCCTCCCACTCTATCTGAACAAAAAAATGGAAAAATGTCCTTGGGTGCTTGGTTGAGGATAAATATATATATATATATATAAATATATATATATATATCTCAAATACATATATTTTAATTAATGCTTAATGAATTGTGTTGAATAGTGCATGATTTTCCTGACATATCTGTCCACCTTATGTATATATTTATTATGTCATTTGGAGGACCTTTGTACAGTTTCTACACTTTGTACAATTTGTTTCATGGGACATCTTCTCTTTAAACTATGAGAGATAAATTCACTGTTTTTCTTTGCTCCAGGAGTAGAATCATCTAAATTGTAACACATCGGTTATTTTGTTAACTATGACAAGGATCTCAAGATCTGGGCAGTTCTTACTAAATGCTATTTTTGCTAAATGTTAAAATGAACAACAGTATTTTGTATACCCAGCTATAAACCAGATGAACTTGGGGGAACCCAACCAGGTGGGTTTAACCAACTACGAAAGAAAGAAAGAAAGAAAGAAAGAAAGAAAGAAAGAAAGAAAGAAAGAAAGAAAGAAAGAAAGGAAGGAAGGAAGGAAGGAAGGAAGGAAGGAAGGAAGGAAGGAAGGAAGGAAGGAAGGAAGGAAACATGTAATTAACCACATTGTTTCCATAAGGCATGGCTAGGACTCCCTTCTGGAGACAAAGTATTGGATGTGAATCCCTGTCTCTTTACATGCTGACAGTAACCAAAACTACCTAATGACAACTGCCTTGCTCCTGAGTGGAGTACCCCAAGCGGGGAATGCCTTTGATTCAGGAATAATTTTTCCTCCAAACCATGCTGGAAGCAGTGACAAATTATTTCTACATATATGTCATCCTGCCCTCAAAGCCCGACCACGAGAACCCCCTGAAGGATCTTTTACAATTAATTAGGCAACTCTTTGTTTTCTGTTGAGATTTCACAGGCTGAGATTTCACGGAACACCCTAGTCTTCACAGTAACACATTTTATTAACCACCAGCAATTGTGACCTGTCAATTTTCTTTTTTATAATTAAAGTTATAAATCTCCATTGTCTTTCAGTATTTCTTAGCTTAATTTTTCCGGCCTCTGTTCATCAGTTTTGAAGATCAACTGCACTGGAAAGTCGGAGCCCTACATTTCAAATTCTGGTCTCTTATTTCGCCTCTGGCAAAACTACATACAAAACATGGTAGTATGGAGAAGGGAAGGGCGCCACCTGGTGGTCGCTGTCAAACATCACAATGGTTGTGTAACCAAAGAGTTGGGGCTGGGAGCATTGGCGGTCACGCCCCTGGTGGAGAAAGCACCAGGAAATTTGAGGAAATCAGAAGAAATGGTTCACCAGCTATGGTAATCGCTAGAATCAGAACAGAAAGAACACAAAACTGGTCATCTTTGAGCAGTTGGGTAAAGGCTACTGAGAGGTAGAGACAGACATTCCTATTTTGTTATATAATAATTATATAGTATTAAAGTTGATGCATTCTTCATGCACACACGCATACACCATTAAAAACGGCACCTTCTTTAAAATGGTGGAAGATTCATATAAGCTACCATTTCTTTTCTAACCACACTGTAATACTGACTAGAAAGAAAAAAAAAATGATATTCTGGACCTGACCTGCATGGCTCAATGGTTAGAGTTTCTGCCCGAGCACCAAAGGATCATGTTTTCAATTCCTAGTCAAAGGCACCTGGCCCTGGTCAGGGTGCATGGAGGAAGCAACCAGTCTATGTGTCTCTGTCATATGGATATTTCTCTCTGTCTTTCTCTCTACCTTCCTCCCTCTCTTCCACTCTCTCTAAAAATCAGTGCAAAAAATATCCTCGGTGAGGGTTAACAATAACAACAAAAGTGATATTCTGGTCAAGTGAGTCTGTGGAAGGTGATTCTGGGCATTTCCTGTCTTTATGAGACATTTTGCTGACATCATGTGTCCGGTCAGCCACAACGTCTTTGCAGGGTTTTCATCGGAAGCGCCCAGCTCACGTGTGGAGTGAAAGGGCTCGGTGACACCAGCTTCACTCTGAGGAAAGGAAGATGAAGAGGATGGAGAACAAGACGCGATACCTGTTCTAGAGTGAGGCACGCTCGCCCAAGCCCCACGACTGAGTTAACACCTGTACTCTGCACATGACAGCTGAAGGATCCAACTTTTACAAAAATCTTACACATGTACACCTTTTAAATATGTATTTCCGTCCTGACATTTCTGATTGTCGAGTTGTAGAAAGTGGCCACATGCTAAGCTGACAAGCTCAGGGGAGGCCTGTATGGTGACCCTGAAGACTCAAAGACCTAAAGTAGCCACAAAGGATGGTCTGAAATGAAAATTTTTAACAAAAAGCAGATGATGCAGGTAATCATGTCCTAGGCCAACAGCGTCCCAGAACAAATCTCAGTCTTTACCTTAACTGAGCCTATTGTCTTTGTGCATGATAATGTATTTTTGGAACGTCAAAGTAATTTTCCTTTTTATGGACCCCTCAAAACACAGGTAGCACTCCGTGAAGATCACAAACCCCTCTTTGTTATTGAGTTAATTGTTGACTGTTAACTATCCTGCACCCACTTATTTAAAAGATGCATGTGTCTATCATTTTACTTTTCATCCAATCCCAGAGGTTTTCTCGCTTTGCTTTCTCCCGCCTCCCTAACATATCACCAGTGGATTTCCTGTAACCCACTTACGTCTTCTCTTTTGATTGTAATGTATAAAACAAGGTGCAAAACTGCCATTCTTCGGAGCACTGTCTCAATTTGTTGAGGTTTTGCTTCCTGGCATTTGTAGACAGTTTTGGCTCGAATAAACTCACAGAACTTTTTCACAGGTTTGAATGTTTCTTACATTGACAGAGTCAATGTCATTAAGAAAAATTTAGAAGAAAGAATATTAGAAGAGAATTGAATAAAAAACTGTAGCCCTGGCCAGGTGCCCCAGCTGGCTGAAGTATTATCCCCTGCACCAAAAGTTTTCAGGTTGATCCCTGGGGGTTGGTCCCGTAGGGAAGCAACTAATTGATGTCTCTCTCTCTCTATCCCCCTTTCTTTTTTCTGTCAAAAAAATCAATAAATATATCCTCGAGTGGGATTTAAAAAAAAAAAAAAGAGGAACCATAGTATATACATTCTACTTTTACTTATTTGTATGCATTAAAAAGCATGCACTTGACATTTCTTTTCTAGCTAGGTTACTTATTGTTATTGAGTACTGTTATTGTTATTGGTTACATGTGACCAATGCTTCAGAAGGCCAAAATTAAAAACTTCAGGGTATAAAGTAAGAAAAGGTTTATTGATCAAGAATCCTCCAACTGAGAAGATGGGAGACCTAATGGGCCTCAAATCCATTTTGCTAGCTGGAATAGGTCAAGGGTTTTTAAGGGTTTGAGGGGAACAGGTATGCAGAAGCCTGGTGGGCAAATTTTAATTGCAGGACGTTAGAATGTGGCCATTTATGGTACGAGTCCTGGAGGTGGGCCCTTGGCCTCTGTTAGGTCATGGTGTTGGAGTTCCCGGTCTGGTCCTCGGTCCTGAGTCCACGGTTTCTTTTGGCTCAGGGTGCAACTGAGGGTCAGAGTTCTCTCCTCTGCACATGCCCAGTAGCATGACTTGCAGTTTTGGTCTGATGTCTCTGAAAAGTAAATCAGTATCTCCTTAAATAGGGCAGGGCCATTGGGAGCTGGTTCTGAGGATACAATATGTGTGTTGGTGGTAGGGAGGGAGTAGTGAAAGTCAGGATTCTAAAAACTCTCAGTTTGGGGTAGAAGAATATAGCCATTGAAGTATTTCATAAGTGATACAAACCATGTGCCATCCAGACCTCTCCTAGGTCATTTCTGTCCCTCCCACGGTCTCTTCTCTCTCTTTTTATGTAAATCTGAGGTTATAAATTGTGGTGATTCTCAGGCTAGTCTCATTCTAAGTTTCCAAAATAGACTTTTATTTGTTAACCAGAATGGGGAGAGGTGTTTCTTTTTTTAAACTAGAGTGATTCTTACAGTGGAAATTTTCAAAAATCGCTGCAGGAAGGTAAGAAAATTTTTACTTGAGAAGTGCCTCTCCAAACCACATTCAGATCCAATTCTGCCTCTTTTTTTTTTTTTTTTAATAAGCTTAGCCTTGTTTAAAACACCAATAATCTCATCCAAGTCCTCTCTAAGAAGGGCCCTAAAGGCTTTGTGATGACCTTAATCAAGTATTAGCCCTACCCTATCCTACCCTACCCAGTTCTACAAAAAGATTGTTTGTGTCTAAAACTGCAGATGTTGAAAGGGATTCATAAAGGAGGCAATGGGAGCTCATTAGGAACTGTGGCCAGAACTGCTCTGCAGGCCTGAAAGAGGGTCTGGACAGATGCCTGTGGGAGCCCAGCTTTATGCTCTGACTCGCAGACTTTGCATAAAAAGGAGTCAGCTAACAAATGTTTGAATGGAGATAGAGAAGAAAAGGAAGCAGCTTTAATTTGCAATTTCTGGTCAACATTTTCGTTTTTCCAAGCACAAAATCTTTAGGGCTAGGGCTTCTTCTTGACCAGGCTTCTACTTTCCCCGAGACAGAGAACCCCGTCAAAATACGTCCTTTTAAACAGAAATATTAAAAGAACTGAAAGCAAAAGTCCTTTGGCCTACAAATCACCCTTTACTTATTTCTACATTCCCCAAGGAACCATCACATAATTTATTAATTTCTAAGTGGAAATGAATGGAAATATTGAGCGTCTTAGAGAGGGAAAATGCACCCAACTTACCAATTAATACGAAAAAATTATGTAAGAAAAAAAGGAAACCAAGCCCTTTCAGTTAAACGAAATCTGCACCTCCCCTCCCAGTCCGAACAACGCGAGGTTCACTGTCCAATCAAAAATGTTGAAATGTTAATATCTTCCCTTTGCTCCACCCCCATGATGACCTAATTTAAAAACACCAACAGCGCCTTGTTTCCAATCAGGTCCGCACAGATTTTATTTAAAGGACTGTGGCAAACCTAGAAAAATCACTACAGCAGCAACTATGTCTGGTCGCGGCAAAGGCGGGAAGGGCCTCGGGAAGGGAGGCGCCAAGCGCCACCGCAAGGTGCTGCGCGACAACATCCAGGGCATCACCAAGCCCGCCATCCGGCGCCTGGCCCGGCGCGGCGGCGTCAAGCGCATCTCCGGGCTCATCTACGAGGAGACCCGCGGGGTGCTCAAGGTGTTCCTGGAGAACGTGATCCGGGACGCCGTCACCTACACGGAGCACGCCAAGCGCAAGACGGTCACGGCCATGGACGTGGTCTACGCGCTCAAGCGCCAGGGCCGCACCCTCTACGGCTTCGGCGGCTAAGTAACTTATGTTTGCCAAGTAGTTTTTTCTCCTACAAAGGCCCTTTTCAGGGCCGCCCACTCCCTCTCAGGAAGAGCTGTCTGCATATTTTGGTGTTGGGGGTCCTGGGAACGTGTTTTCTCGGGGTCCTAAGTATTGGTAACTGCACCACGGGACGGTGGTTTTTTTCCACATCAACCTTCAGCGTGTCTGCAGAGACCCAAGAGTTGGCAGTGCCCTAGTTTTTGTCGGGATGGGGGGGGTGCTTTGGGGTTTACGGTCAGGAAGAAGCAAGCTTGTGTAGAGAAGTGCCAGCCAGTTTCGATTTGCTTGAGGTGAGGTCAAAGCTTCCCAGTTTTATTTATTCTGGCAAGAGGCACTCCCGCCCCCTTTCCCCTGTAAAGGGATCAACCACAGGCTTTGGTTGGCGAGGGGCAGTTTCCAGTGACCCGAAAATCCGGAAGCTCTGCCGACCAGTTCCTAGTCTGGGGGTGCAATAAACATTTCAACGAAATTCGGTCTGCGAGGATGCAACCCGTCTCCCACATCGGTTAGAAACGGACCTTGGTAGCAACACTGGGTATTTATTCCTATTTGCCCCAGGTGAAGACAGGCAAGATCACTTCGGACTCTCTCCTCTTTCAGGGCATCGGGCTGAGGGTCCTCAACCCTGAACCCGGTGGGTTTAGGTTTAACTGTAATTAAATCTGCCTGGTTTACATTATCCGGCTAGGCCCCTCCCTAAGCCGAGGCCGATCGGTTTGTAAATTACCATTGACTGGGGATGGGAGAGGGGCGGTCACTAATTTAGCTGGAGTCGCTAACTTCCTGTGACCCTTTGCATTTGTGAAGGAGGAGCTCCCTCCCTTGGTATCGGCTCTCCCGCGCCTCCCCACCTCCAGCTCATGTCCCTTTTTAACTGTGCAGGCTATAAACTGTAAATTTGTGTTAGTTTTTTTTATGGACCATTCAAACACTACAATATGGCTATAAAAAGTCTTTTAAAGTACGTCCTCAGATTGAACCCGCAAACTTGCTTTCTATGACAAAACCAAAAGCCCTTTTCCGAGATGCCCAGAAAATCTCATGATGGGCTCTTGTTTGGCTTTGCAGAAATGTTAACTCTTATCGCCTGACACCCACAGGGCTACATAAATGAAGCTTATTGGGGACAAGCTCCCCAGGGGACAATTCGCGGTGCGATGCGGAAAACCATGTTAAATTTCGGAGGGTGGGATTACAGAGCCGTTTTTCCATAGCTAAGGGAAGGGGTTAATCGCTGTTCCCTGGACTGGAGGAAAAACCTTGGTTGGTCAACTTTATGAGTGCCAAGAGCGAAAAGGCTTGAGTAGCACAGGCGCATAGGCTCCTGAAGCGGTTCTAGACGATACGAGCAATGCTGGGAGACCGGTAACTGCTGGGCGGGCTGCGGCCAGTTGTGCATTCATTTCCTTAGTGATCTGAGGAAGGTCCAAGGTCAGTCCACTGCTTGTAGGGCAAGGGAAGGCTATTTCTAGTGCAGAAAAGCTCCAGCCTCAAGGGAAACTGGACATCATGTCCAAGCAAGGCACGGATTCGGGTTGATCCCAGACAAATTGAAGCTATTATGTTCCGTTGTTTTCCACATAGGATGCAATTAAATTTTTTTTCCCATAGGCCCAATTATACACGTAAGTTATGAAAGGCTAGGTCTTAGTGAGTACTTGTATAAGATGCTGGAATTGAAAGAATGCACATCATTTTACAATCAAGTAGGATTAACAGTGTTAATATTATGATCTTTAGAATGCTAAATCACAAATTAATGAAAAACTGAAGAAGAAAAAAAAAACAAACCTAATTTTAAAACGAGAAACATGCATTAACTCGGACCCTGAGTGTTTTCTAACACAAGCAGTTTTTGTTTGACAAACGTTTGATTCAGATCCTAACTACTGTGCAGCCTCTAATATCCCCATAAAGACTAGGCTTGCCAGGCCAGTGTGGCCCAGTGGTTGGGCATCGCTCCATGTACCAAGAGCTCGCAGGTTGGATTCCTGGTCAGGACACATGCCCAGATTGTGGGCCTGATCCCCACTGGGGGGCATGCAGGAGGCAGCCGATCAACGTTTCTATCTCTCTCTCCCTCTCCCTTCCTCTCACTCTCAAATCAATAAAGAAAAATTTTTTTAAAAAAAGACTAGGCTTAGCTTTTTTTTTGCCTGTGGAGCACCATCTACACACTCTTCATACATAAAATACATATCATTAAAATCGTGTTAGAGCAATCATATTATCAAACCAAGTTTTTTAAGTGTGACAATATATGTGCTTAACAGAAATACCATAATAACAATACTACTTTGGTAATAATGAGGATAAATAGCTTTTTTATATTCTTGCGACAACTGTAATCTGTAAATATTTGATTTTTACTGCCTAGTGACAGTGTAAACAAAATCAGTTGAAGATTAAAATAAAGAGGCCAGTTTGGCTCAGCGGTTGGAGCATTGGCCTGCGGACCAGAGTCCTAGGGGCATGTACCAAAAAAAAAAAAAAATTAAAATAAAGAGGTTTAAAATGTCCCAATAGTCCAAATTCGGACACCTTAATTTCTATTTATGATCCCTACAAAGTCCGTGGACACCAGAATTACAAAACCTTTTATTTCACCCTCATCAAAATTCTGCTTGTTAACAGGCAAAGAGGTTGAACTGTAGTGTCATGAACTTCCAGAAGGTTCCAGTGCTACGCCATTTTAACATTACTTGGGTGGCTCTTAAAAGAGCCTTTGGGGTGTTTATTTTGTTTTTGACCACTGGTATTTTACTTCTTAGGTGCCGCCTTCCTGGGATTGGTCTTCTGCTGTACCAACTTGGCCCTCCCGGCTGCGGGCCTATCGGCCCTGGCCTTGGCGGGGCTCTTCCGCTGGGGCTTGGCCTTGGCTGCTGTAGCCTTCTTGACACCTCGGGCAGCCTTCGGGGCTGCTGTGGCCCTCGACTTCTGGGCTTTCTTGTTGGTATTAGTGCTCTTCGGGGACTTGGACTCCCGGGACAAAACCAGCTTCTTGGTCTTGGAGGAAGAGGATTTCTTGACCTTGACAAGATCAGGGGCGGCCTTCTTGCTAAGCTTGAAGGAGCCGGAAGCGCCGGTGCCCTTGGTCTGCACCAAGGTGCCCTTGCTCACCAGGCTCTTGAGCACCAGCTTGATGCGGCTGTTGTTCTTGTCCACGTCGTAGCCCGCGGCCGCCAGCGCCTTCTTCAGGGCGGCCAACGACATACCTGCTCTCTCCTGCGAGACCGACAAAGCCTCGGTGATCACCTTGGACACTGATGGACTTGGAGTCTTGCGACTCACACCCGTCATACCCACCTGCTTCTTCCCTCGCTTCTTGATTGATGGCTTCTCCACATAACCTAGGCCAGGCTCAGCCGGGTCCGCAGGCGCCATCTCGGACATCACAGCCTAGGTCAAAAACAACTGAGAAAGAGTGAGAGGCGTCAAATGCTGGGTGGGGAGTGGGGCTCACGCCTTATATAGGGCAGGGCGTGCTCTGATTGGTGCGTCGCCTAGGCCTTGCCCCGCCCCCCAGGGAAGGAGCCTTTGTGTTTGTTTGTTCCCCCCAAAATTGAAGCCCACACAAATTGTCTGCATAGAACTGTCTAGTTCCAATGCCTGATGATCCTTGGAGACCCGAGTTTTACATGCTTTCTCGCCTTTTAATGAAAAACGACCCAGCATGTCAAAACTATCCAATAAAACCCTCAATTTTCAGCAAATTCGAAGAGAAGAATGAAATTTCCTCTTTTCCTTGTAAATTTAACGTTGATTTTTAGCAGGAGACATCTTTTCTCAATGGTCTTCCAAATGGTTGGCTTTCATTGAATGGACAAAATTAATTATTCATGCCCTGATTTTTATTGACAATTGTGTATATAAGAGGAAAGTAACAGATCTCTTAGCTGTCTCACTGTGGAATCAGATGCTTTCAGAATCATCTAAAACTTCAGGGTATGACCTTATTTGAGCAACACGCAATCTAATAAACCATAATCTACATGATGTGTGGATTGCTTGTGACTAAAACTACTCCCGGGTCCCTGCAGCCTGATAGAAGACTCTCAAGGATGAAGTAAGTAGCATGGATCTCACACATGATACCTACTTGCCCCAAATCCGGTCACCCTGGTGTCCTCAACTGAATGTTGTTTCTGGTTTCATTCATTCAAATCCTCACCCCCACCGCAGGCCCCTCTGTCGCCCATCCCCAAATACAGATATGGAGACACAGACAGTCTCTATCCTCAATTAACTGAAAAAATGGGAGGCAGGAACCCTAGCCTGAAGAGCTCAGTGGGGCCCACAGACCCAGATCACAGGACCAGGACTGGGCTGGCAGGTGTGTTTGCAGAGTTGTGGGACAAGAGATATTGGGACAGTGTCCAGGATGCTTCTCGACTTGTCCTACAACTGGCCTTAGTGAGAGGTCAGGATGACTTTGCTCATCTAAGCAGGGCCTCCCAGAAGGCTGCTGAGGGAGTGACACAGTGGAGTCAGAACCCAGGGGTCAGCTGAGGAAACCGTGTAGGGACCATCTTGTGAAGATCCCCAAATGCCTGCCTGAGAAACATGGCAGTTATTCTTGATTGAAGGCTTCTCCGTAAGGTGGGAGCCTTATCAGAGACAATGTAGGTAAGAGTAGTTTCAGTTTAATGCAGCCAAAAGCAGTTTATTACTCCATCAGAATCCTGGCCAGAAATGGCAGCTGATAAAATTAGGTTCTTTTCTTCGTTTTATCTTAACATTAGATCCCACTTTAAAATTAAAAACAACAAACAAACATATATACATGTACATATATATATATTTAGTGCCTCCCCATGGAAGTATTATAATTATGTTCATAGTTTTACTGCAATGTATTTCTTATGGAGACATGGCTAATAAAAACATGAGGGGAGGCGGGGGATAACCCTCACTAATAATGAAATAAATAAAACTTCAAAAATATCTCTGGCCTAGCAGGTTAACAGTGGTTTTTAAAAAGTCCTGTGTGAATATGAATGCTATAACCCAGAAATGTTCATATTATTTTTGGACTATAAATTGCCATGGTCCTTCTGAATGAAAATTTGGCAGTGTATTAAGAGCCTTAAAAATGGTTTTACCTTGTGATTTGGTATTTCTATTTCTATAAGTCTATCAAAAGGAAACAATCAAATATTTAAACAAAGATTTGTGCACAAACATGTGATTTGTATGATCTATAATGCATAAAGATGGAACTCAATCTAAACAGCCAATAACAGAAGACTAATTACACAAGTAGTATTGCAGCTTTTAAAATTGTGCTTCCAACCTTATGACCTAGAAAATTATATGCATGTACACATAGCGTGATACCCATATTTGCTTTATATATTTCTCTTTTCACAAATTTCTACAGTGAACATTTAGTATTTTTTAAATTTATCTTTATTGTTGTATTACAGATGTCCCTCCTTTTTATCCCCATTGGCCCCTCCTCACTGCTCCTGCCCCCCCCCCCACCTTCACCACACTAGTGTCTGTTCATTGTGAACATTTAATATTTTTATACTCAGAAAAAAAAAAGATGTTTCTTCCAGGTTATTATCGACCCATCCACAACTGTGAAAGTACGCCTTATCTCCAAGTATCTTTCATTTTCATTGGGCCGCAAGATGCCACAATGCCCAGCAGTGACAGTGGTAGGAAAAGACGTCTGAAGCCCATTTGCTCCTCCTGTAAATAGAGAGTTTGGTTAATTTACTTCTGTAATTCATCAGATACCTGACATTATACTCAACTCAGAACAGCAGCAATAATGGTGACGGGTGATGTTCACTGGGGTTTGTTCTAAGCACTTTGTAGATACTGGTGCTTTGAATCTGTGACAACCTACCGTCATTTTCTCTGATTTATAGGCAAGGAAACAAAGGCATGGAGAGGTAGAGTTTCCCAGGGGACACAGCTATTGGATGGTTAACTCACACCCCGAGCATCTGAGTCTATGTATATTCCTTAAAAAAAAAAAAAATGAATATGATCTAGTCAGTGTCCTGGACTTAATTTGAAGGGTAAGTAGGAATTTGTCATGTGGAAAAGGAGTTAGGGCTTTTTCTAAGGAGACACAGTAACAGGTGGAGTTGGGGGTGAGCCTGTGAGGGATGAGGAAGGCCCTTGTATGACCGCAGGTTGAAGAGTTCAAGTTCATTATTCCCACATGGAGCAGTTGTGACAGTTCCCAGAATCTTCCCTTCTCTCAGGTGCTCATCCCTCTGAGGTACTGGCAGATGAAATCATTCTGACCTTTAAGTCAAATGGAAATATAATGGAAATGTACCAAAGTAAATGCATAGTCTTTCATAGGGTATTTCAAAATGCATTTTTTATCTTCCTTCTGACAAGTAAGAAAAAGCAAACCTGGTTTTATTGGAACAAATAACCATCTTGAAGTTTTCACAGCACAGGTTGGTTCTATTGAGCCCCTCGGTCAGCATTACATCTGTTGGCTCATCGTTGCAATTCCCTGACTCCCACCGACCTCCTCTCCCTCATCCTGCTCTGTTTGGTTTTGTTTCTCCATGTCACTCGTCTTCTCACAGACCGGATAGTTTACTTACTTATGTTTTTACATTGTACTCTAGCTCTCAGGGAAGGGATTTTGTGATTTGTTCACTGATGTATTACTCATACACATGCTTGGTACATACTAGGCATTCAAAAAATGTAGTTATTCAATTCTGTTATCTTTGTGCACTTAGGATGTACCAGGCTCAGTAATAGCCTCTGGGGACACTGTCGTGACCAAATCTGAGCTCAGAGCCTATCGGGTGACAACCAGACAAGCAATGACAGCCAAGTGCAAACTTAGTGAAGTTACACAGAGCAGTGGTGAGGGGCTGGTCATGGAAACCTCCAGGGGAGGGCAAGGCCAAGCAGATGCCTGCAAGATGAGGAGGAGTTTGCTAGGCAGGAAGGATGGGGAGGACAATCAAAGCAGTCCAGCATATGTGGGAGGAACAGCAGGCTGTGGGCACAGCTGGCTGCAGAACAGGAGAGATAGGAATGGATAAGGCCACAGACAGTGGGCAGGGAACAATCCCGTCAAAATGTATGTCAGGTATTTGGAAAATCTTAAAGGCAAGACAAAGCATGTTCAGGCCCATTCCAGAGGCCACACTTTCCTCATCACGGAACAATCTCATGATCCCATTTCTGGTCTGCATTTCATAGGTGCTGTCATTTCATCCTCGCCCCATCTTCGTAAGTAATTACCACCCCCCTGCCTGCTCCGAGTAGTAGAGTTGTCAAAGTAACTCATTTAGCTAATTATTAACACACTGTGCACTTGAACAAGGTGTGTAAGCAATAGACTGATTTCATCCAACAAAGTCAAAAAGAAATTTATAAAACAGAAAGAGGGGAGGAAAACATTTGCAGACTGTCATGGAACAGAATGGCATGGCTGTACATGATTTCCAGTAGAAAAGCACTGAATGTGGACAATCTGTTCTTGCAGAAACCAAGGAGAAGTTTCAAAGAAAACAATTTGTGTTTCTCTAGAAACTCTCATGACTGGCTGGGATGAACAGAGACAGGGGGACTCCGCTTGGGTCAGCCACCATTTCCAGCATCAGAGTATCTCCCACCTCCCCCCCCCCACACACACACACACCACGCACACACACACACACATACTGTGGTCTCATAATAAGTATTAATTTTTTCTCTGTCACATTTAGTCATCTGTATATTAGACAGTGAAGGAGGGCAAAAACCTCGTGACAGACTCACAAATAAGGAATATTTGAAATCTGTATGGTCTCCAGGTATGTAATTGGCTTTTCTTAATGAGAATAATTGGCTTCAAAGATTAGTTCAATTGACTTCAGTTAAACTAGCATTATTTAAAAATGATTTAAAGCTTGGCAAAGGCACAATATATTGAAAGTTTCATTTGAATTCTGAATTTTTCTTCTTCCTGGAAGTGTTCTGTGTTTTTTAACCAGTTCCAGTAAACCTTAGATAAATATAATGATGAATTCATATAATAATGAATTCAGTTCTAAAATATATTTACCTTATCAGAGTAAATAAGACAATACATGTTACATTGAAGTCACTACATTAACAAATAGTAACAACTTCCTAATAAACAGAGTAAGCATAGCCATTATGTTGTACGAATATTGTGTTTCTCTGTAGCTATAGTACTTGGTAGAGTGACTATCACGTGTGTGTTCAAGACAGCCTTACAACAGCACACAGTGGTTCCCTTGCAGGCATGAAGGACTGGAGGCTGTCCATAGACTGCCTGGTCCTCTGGGCCCACAAGGTCACGTGACATATCCATTTTTCAAACTGAAACTGGCAAAAACCAGCATCTTTTTCCATTTCGCTAATGCATCTACATGTTCTTTAACCTAAACTGTGTAAGAATAAGAGACTTGCATAAATCAATTGTTATCATGATGCATATTTTATACCCTCCAAAGTAGGAACTCTCCAGGTTCCCAAAGATTCAGCATGACTTTACTCAATTTAATATTTATCTAAATTATCTATAGATTGTGAATTCAGTATTTGAGCTGACACACTGAATCCTTATGACTTGTAACATTCTAGAAATCAACTCTATTTTTCAAATGACATTACCTATTAAGAATGGAGTTAGTTCAGTGTATAATTTACAATTGTAAAATTTGAAATAAAGTGATGTTAACTCATCTAACCGGTAAATCTAGTGGAAGAAATTTAGTAAATTCAAATTAATTAGTGTTTTTTTTAGAAAATAAATTCTAGACTTGCATAAACCAGAATACTGTGTCAACAGTTTTAAAGCAAAATTAAGCCAGTAAGTTTGTCCAAATAGTTTTTATTAGAAAATAAAATTTTCCCCTAAAAAATTACATACCATAAATTAAATGTTTTAAGTTGTTTCAAATATTGGAGTAGTTCGGTTTTGTTTCTTTACTACCCTGTTACCTTTTAATATGTTATCTGTTTTTAAAAAAGATATCAAATTAAACTCACAGTTGAACTTATTTTTCCCCCTCTGTCACAATCTTAAAAGTTAGAACATGTAAAGCATCAGAATTCTGATTTTTATTTGAATTTGTTATATTTAAATGTTGGATTTTTTTTTATCTTTAGATAAGCCATTTAAAATTTAAATTTACATTGGAATTAATTTTCTACTGAAGTAAACAATTTGCTCAAAATTAACCTGTACTCATAAAACAGAAAATATTCTCAATTGTTTAAGAGGACCTAACTGAATTTGCAACAAAATTTAAAAAGCCACAGAATTAAGTATCTTGGTCAGTTAAATAAGCAGGCAAGTGATTAAGATCAGAGATTCCTGGGGAACACAATTGTTGAGAATAGGAGTAAATTCTGATACCCTTCTAAAACTGGCAGGAAATTCTAGTTTCTAGGGCCATGTCCTTTACAAAAAAATCAGTTAAGGTTCAGAAACTATTGTTTGTTTTACCCCTGCATTGTAAACCTTTTCCTTTTTCTGACTCAATTATTTATGATGGCATTTTTCTCCTCTCCTCTCCAACCTTAAAGGACCTGAATGAACAATACAGTACTTTGAAGTTACTAATTCACAAACTTGAGGGGTGATAGACTAACTGGATCTTTACGCAATCAGTTGGGAGTGTTTGGTAAGTGTTTGACAGTGTCTTGCATTTGCGTTTCCACCCTAACTATGCCAGGCACACTGCTTCCCAGGCAGCCACTGACTGCAGAGCTGTGTTCAGATGGGGACATGCCTAATGGAAGATCAGCCTTAGTATCTTCCCAGATGTCAAAGAAAACTGCAGAAGTAAAAATCACAGGTTCCTTCAAAATTACAAAGTATTGTCAGAATTTGTAAAGGCCTTTTATTTTTTCAACATTTCCTGTACTTTCCATGTTTATAACAGAGAAATCACCTCGACCTAAGGTATTGAAAAGTATGTCCTATACTTGAACTCAAAAGGTTTATCATGTCTTTGGCAGGGACAGGGACTACACGTAATTTAAGAGTTGTCATTGACCATAACCTGTTTGTGGTTATACCAGTATGATACTCTTCCTAATTAAGGTTCAAGAGTTTGGCCAGCTTCCATCCAGCAGTTTAAGTTTGTGAATACAGCTCTTTGTAAACATGTGGGTGGCTCTGAAAAGAGCCTTTGGGGTTAGGTGTCAAGCCGCTTACTTGCTGGTCTACTTGGAGCTGGTGTACTTGGTGACGGCCTTGGTGCCCTCGGACACGGCGTGCTTGGCCAGCTCCCCGGGCAGCAGCAGGCGCACGGCCGTCTGGATCTCCCGGGACGTGATGGTCGAGCGCTTGTTGTAATGCGCCAGGCGCGACGCCTCGCCCGCGATGCGCTCGAAGATGTCGTTGACGAACGAGTTCATGATGCCCATGGCCTTGGACGAGATGCCGGTGTCGGGGTGCACCTGCTTCAGCACCTTGTACACGTAAACCGAGTAGCTCTCCTTGCGGCTGCGCTTGCGCTTCTTGCCGTCCTTCTTCTGCGCCTTGGTCACCGCCTTCTTGGAGCCCTTCTTCGGGGCGGGCGCGGATTTGGCTGGCTCAGGCATCTTAAAATCTCAAGTCACCAAAAGTAAAGTGAAGCTGGGGTGGAAACTCTGCTACTTATAGAGCCTTTATGCTAATGAAGGATGCAGAGAGCATCTTAGTTCATTGGAAGACAAACAACAAGCCTGTCATCCATGGGCCGATCTATGCAAATAAGGTGTGAAAATGAACATTTTTCTATTGGCTACATGACCTAGCCTGTTCTTAGCCAATCAGACAGCCTGATTTGCTCCCTAGGAACTGCCTATAAAAGCAGTCATGTTCAACATGTTTTTAAATTGATCTGCTTGGGCGAGTAGTTAGTTTCGTTTTTAGCAGAGGCCTTGTTTTCCAATGTCTGGACGTGGTAAGCAAGGAGGCAAAGCCCGAGCCAAGGCAAAGTCTCGTTCTTCTAGGGCCGGGCTGCAGTTCCCCGTGGGCCGCGTGCACCGCCTGCTCCGCAAGGGCAACTACGCCGAGCGGGTGGGGGCCGGCGCGCCCGTGTACCTGGCGGCGGTGCTGGAGTACCTGACGGCCGAGATCCTGGAGCTGGCGGGCAACGCGGCCCGCGACAACAAGAAGACGCGCATCATCCCGCGCCACCTGCAGCTGGCCATCCGCAACGACGAGGAGCTCAACAAGCTGCTGGGCAAAGTCACCATCGCGCAGGGCGGCGTGCTGCCCAACATCCAGGCCGTGCTGCTGCCCAAGAAGACCGAGAGCCACCACAAGGCTAAGGGCAAGTGATTTGACAGGCATCTCAATTTCCGGAAACGCTTTGACACCAAAGGCTCTTTTCAGAGCCCCCCACCCCACCTCATAGGAAGAGCTAATGTCACTTTAGGTTAAGACGGGAGAAAAACACTAAGGTAAGTTAATTTTCCCCCCAATCATGACAATACAAAAATAGTCTTTAAGCCTTTAAGAAAGGTTCAGAGTGTTGCTGAAAATTGTGCTGTCTGTGGGAAATAGTGATTCGGTCGGTATGCTCAAAACCGCAGAACCTGGCCGTGGTCCGGAGCTGGCTAACTGTAGAGCTGGACTACGGTCTCTAGGCTTCAAATCTTGAAAATTATTGAAGGCAAATTTCCCGAGGGGTTTTGTAACCTCCTCGCCATATCCCCTGAGGGCGTTAAACTCTGCTCACGTTAACAATGAAAGCACCTTCTGAAAGTTAAGGAAGTGAAAGGGGCCTCTGAAAAATTGATTCGTGTTTGCTGAGAACACAGCCCGAATGTAGACCCGAATTGCATCTCATTTACCGATTGCGATACTGGGGCCAATTCATAACCTCTGGTACTCTTTTGTCATCTGTAAATTAGGGGTAGACTGGTGGTGTTTTCTTTAGATTCTGGTGCCCATTAGCCATTTAATGCCTCTAACCTAGACCAGCTCCTGATAACGAATTATGTTTTAAATAATACTATGCTGTACAAAGCTCTAATATCTGTTTCCAACACAGCTGAAAAAGGCATGTAACACGGCATTAGGAATTTGAGGGCTGCTCATGTATACTGAAATAGTTGATAATTAGGGCTCATATGTAGCTCCAGAATCCACTCTCTATTCCAATACCTTAGTATTTTCCCAGACCAGGTTAGCATCACCAGGAGATGTACTGAAAGACAGCCATCGCCTGTATTTACTCCTAGAAAACTGTATCATTAATAGAAAAATTTGTGGGAAAACAATCATTGTGACTCCAAAAGAAATCAGAATATGCCATGTAGACTAAAATTAGGTGAATTCTCAGGGATGAAATTACTGTAGCTATACTGAAAAAAATAACAGAACTTCACTGGACTCCTTACATTACAGTTGAGTTTGGGCAGGAGAAAATCAAAATTTCTCAGGACTTATGCATGTTACCTACAGTTGAGGCTGTTTCAGAAAAAAACAAAAAAACAAATGTGCTGAGTAAGCTTTAGACTCTATTTTGTTTGTCTGCCAGCTGGAGCTGAAACTTTCCCTGCCTACTTACTCGGACACCAGGCAGTAGCTGGAAAAACCAAACAAACAAAAACAGCTAGCCTTCCTAGTGGTTAAGTTATGCACGTAAGGGTACCATCCTTCACCACGAAAGAGAATACACAGACCAGGACTGCTGAGGATGAGGAAGAATTCATACTGTCACATAAACAATGAGAAATTTTTCTGGCAGTCTTGATTACAATCTACTAATAGACACTTAGTCCAACAATGGATTTTTGTCCAACAATGTAGTATTAGATAAGTAAATTGAAAAGGAAAAACATAGACACTTAGGAAGAGAGTGTGTCTACCCTCTCTTAAAAGCCCCAGTGTATGAGGTTATGTGAAACTCTTAGCCTTCTACAAACACCTGTGTGTAAAGTGTTAAAATGCTCAGGTATAAAGTTTGTAACTTAAAGCATAAAATATAAAACAAAAAGCAACCTCCCTCTGCCCACTTCTCACGCCAAATCTCTTTCTACCATCCTGTCTACGTTCTTTAAAATACAGTCTGAGATTTTTATCACCAGATTTCTCCTTGTGTACCTCTGTTCATTGTATTCTCTGTTCCAAGATGTAGAGACCTGGTCTGTCTACTCATCTTGACATCTCAGCATCTAGCAGGAGGCCAGGCACTTAGATCTATGGGCCCTCTCAGCCCCCAGCTTGTGGTTATCTGGATTTCTGTTTAAAACCTCCTCACCCTCCCCAGCTACAGGGATGCAGTGGGGTTTGGAAGTACAACCTACCTGCATTCCACACTCCTTTTCCAGACTTAATACCACATGCTCACCCTCAGGAAGCCCTTCATTCCTGAGGTCCTGCTCTCTGCTGACTGACGTGCAAACAAAATTCCTCCTTCATGGGCTAGTGTGTCTAGATGTTTTTTTGAATCATGGCAAGAAAAGGGTCACAGGTAGTGTGTGTGATAAAATTAATGCGGCGTCATCCACCTCACATGTCAGCTCTGCACATAAGGGCACCTTGCTGGCCTCGCATTCGGATGCCAGCACTTCACGTCCTCCTTCTGTAAGATCTTCAGTAAGCACTTGGAACACATACTCAGAAGAAGTATGTAGTCCACATGTATTTCTGCACAGAAATGGAATAACCACTAAGCTGCAGGGACTTGTGGGTTTGTTCCTTGGGGCATGTGCTATTCTAGCCACCACTCACTCTTAAGTTCTAGTTGCTGAATTTGGAGGGAGGTTCATAACTGGTTGGTTCTAGAGCTGCTCCGCCCAATACTCCATTTGCCACATGTGACATTTAATTTATTCATTTATTTTTTAATCTTCACCCAAGGATATTTTTCCACTGATTTAGAGATAGAGTGGGAGGGAGGGAGAAGGGGAGAGAGAGAGAAACATAGATGTGAGAGACACACTGACTGACTGCCAGGCCCGGAGATGGAACTGCAACCAAGGTAATGTGCCCGACTAGAATCAAACCCGCAACTCCTCGGTTCTCAGAATGACGCTCTAACCATTGAACTACCTACCAGGGCACATGTGACATTTTAAATCTGAATAAAATATTTAAAATTCCAAGAACTCACCCAGCCAGTGTGGCTCACTGGTTGAGTGTCAGCCCATGCACCAGGAGGTCGCTGGTTCAATTCCTGGTCAGGGCACATGCTCAGGTTGTGGGCCTGACCCCAGTGCGGGGGCGTGCAGGAGGCAGCCAATACATGTTCTCTCTCATCGATGTTTCTATCTCTCTCTCCCTCTCCCTTCCTCTGTCTAAAATCAATATATAGGAACATATACACAAAAACTCTTCCTTCCTTTGTTCCTCCCTCCCTCCTTCCTTCTTTTCTCTCCCTCCCTCCTTCTTTCCTATCCCTCCCTCTCTCCCTCCTTTCATCCTTCCTCCCTTCCTCCCTCCCTCCCTCCCTCTCTACCTTCTTCTTTCCTTCCTCCCATCTTCCCTTCCTCTCTTCTTGTTCTACCTTTCTAAATAAATGCAAAAAATAAATAAAATTAAATAAAGAAATAAAATAAATATGTGTGTGTGTGTGTGTATTTGAGACTCAGTTGCACTAAGCACATTTCAAGTTGTTGGTGGCACTGTATTGGACGACAAAGGTATAAAACATGTCTGTCATCTCAGAAAGTTCTGTTGGTAGCACTAAGGTAGCTACTTCCTGTCCCTGTGGAGGAGGGTGTTCAAGTGCACTTAACAAGCTTCTTCTAGGGGGTGTCTGAGGATACAGTTGCCAGATAAAATACAGGATGCTCAGTTAAATTTAATTTACAGATCAGCAACAAGTAACTGTTAAAAACATGCGCTGAAATATTGCATGAGACATCCTATACTAAAACAAAATTGTTCTTTGTTTGAAACTCAGATATGACTGAGCATCTTGTATTTGTATTTGCTAAATATGGCAACCTTATTTTTCTTTTGTTTTTTGTTTATTTTGGGGGTGTTTTTGTTTGTTTGTTTGTTTGTTTGTTTTTCTTTCACTGGCAACCTTATCTGAAGGGCAAAATCAGAGCATCTAACACAAAGACTGGGTCCTCTCACCATGTGGAGTAGTTATGTAAGGAACTGAGAAAATGGGTCTGTACGTTTTCTGCTTGTGTTCAAGAAGACTGAAGAAGAAGTTTCAAATGCATTTACTTTGGTTTCACCCTTAGGTTTCCAAAGCTTCTCACTGCAGAGCTGCCTGGGTATGGAGTATCTGTCATCAGTTCTCAGGAATACATGGGTGGATGGCATCATTGTTCCAACATCACTGACTGACTGCACCTGCAAATTTCTTCCTATTAAAAACATTCTGGGTTAATCTGTGTGTGTGCACTTGTGTGCCTTGTGGGTAAGGAGAGTAAAACTGGTGGAGGGGAGGAGAATATTGTTTCAGGGGAAGCTTTCTTTAGTGCAAAAATGTGTCTAATTTTAGAATAAGTAAATACTTCCAGAAGGTTCAAACAAATCAAAATAATAAAGTAAATATTGAGAATCTATTTCCACCGGACTATTCCAATGATCTCTTGGTCATTATTTTTCTGTGTTTCTGCCCATGGTTAATTTATGCAGATGTAAGTTTCCTCACCACTTCATTTGAAAAAGAGCAGACTGTACACACTGCTCTGCACTTCGCCTTGTCTGTAGAAATACATCTTGGAGCCCTGGCCCGTTTGGCTCAGCGGTTGGAACCTTGGCCTGTGGACCAGAGAGTCCCAGGTTTTGTTCCCGCTAGGGGTCACGTACCAAAAAAAGGAAATACATCTCTGAGAACTTTCTAGGTGTGAATACAGACAGCTTCCGGCACACCCTTGCACAGTGCTGCATGGGCGCATTGTGGTTCAGTGCGGTCCACTGTTGGTAGGCACACAAGACAATTCTGGAAAGATAAATTCTGATTTACAGGAAACTGAAAACTCATAGTCCACTGGGATGGTGGAAAGTAAACACTGATTCAAGTCTCTTTTGGGCTGCACTCACTGTTCTCCCCCTTAAAAACTAGGTGGTTTTAGCCAAGTTAGTAATTTTGAATCTCTTTCTTCATCTGCAAAGTGCTGGTAATGCCTTAGCAAAATGAGAAAGGTCGTGTGTATGAACTGATTGTAGCTCTAAAACACAGCAGGAATGAAGTTGGTGGATTTTCAACACCAGCCTTTCATGAGGAAACGAAGATGGTGCAGAGGAGGAGGAAGGCAGTTTCATCAGTCACCTGCTTGGGTACCTGTCTGGTTAATGGGCTATTTAGGGCAGGAAATATCACACCCTCCAGATGTAGCTGCCCTCTGCCTCTTCTGTTCTCCCCTTGAAATCAGGGTAAGTTCTAAGAATGTCTGCTACTCTGTACAGTCTGTGTGTTGGAGGCTGGGGGCCTGCTGGGTTCACTGTTGTATCGTTAGCTGTCAGCCTGGTACCTGACATTGACAGGCAGGTACTAGTAACTCAAGAAAGATCTGATGAATGAATAAGGCTGGGTTGTAAGGAGACACCCCATGTTGTCTTAAATACCTATACAATAAGTCTTCACAAAGCAGTTTGTGTGCACACATGCATGCCCACACAGCAGGCATGCAGCAGGCATTCTGCACTGACATGGAATCTGGAGCTAAACTGCTTGGGTTTGGGTTCCAGCTCTGCACTTTAGCAAGTGTCTGACTTGGAGGAACGGAGAACAGTCACCTGCCACTTCTGAAAATCAGGCGTTTCATCTGTAAAATGAAATAGCAGTTCCCAGAGTTCTGAAAAGCAATCAAATGAGATGGCACATCACAAAGCACTTTATTTCTTGTAAAACCTAATATAAACATGTGCAAGATTCTATAAAGACTGTGTACATAGAAATCTATCATCCATCTATCTTTCTATCATCTATCTATCTATCATCTATCTATCTATCTATCTATCTATCTATCTATCTATCTATCATCATCTATCTATCTCCAAATGTGGAAAAGTGAGAGTAGAAGAGGATGGTGACATGTCACAGATCTGCTGGCTTCCGCCCACTGAGGCTGAAGGAGCAGGTTGTGCTAAACCAGAGGACTACATGCTTCCTGGTGAAGCGTCCCCATGGCAGGAGGAAGCTCCTGGATGAGCAGTGGGCCTGGAAGACAGTGTTGGAACAGCAGTAGAAGCGCCCCCTCACCTCCCACCAGGTCTTCAGCTGCAGAAGCAGTAGCCCCTTGCGATGGGCGTTTGTTTCAAACTCAACTGAGCCTCCTTCCCCAAAGAAGGGACTCCTAAGATAGGATGCTGTACACTCTGTCCACTCTTCTTTTTGCTCAGTGTGACTCCTTGGATATGGTGAATTACCCCTGCTAGGTACCTGAGCAACCTTAGTGAAGAGAAGAAAATGAGGAAGGCCATTTAGAAGGACCCCAGGAACAGTGGCCCCTGTGGGAGGAAAGAGTAATGAAGGGTGGAGCTCAGAAGGGAGCTTCCATTTCCTTTGGCTCAGCCCCTTTTGTTGTTGGATGAAGAGACCGGGGACCCAAGTCAGTTGGTCTTGTGCACGGTCACAGAACAAATCCGTGGCTTGTAAGTATCCACACCCTGAGTTACATTGCTGCCCTTGGTGTCCTCATCCTCTCAAGGCCTCCAGCAGAAAATCGACATGTCACTCTGAACCTCCCCTCCTTCCCTCTGCTGTTCAGGATATCACTGGGAGCCTGACACTGACCGGACTCGCCGTGTTTGCACCATGGCAATCACAATGCTACAAAGCACGAGTTTTTGCTTCTTCCTGGAGAGCCAGTTGTTGCGTATTAACCAGTACACCACTGCCTTCCACACTCTGCCCCTGTCCAGCAGGGGACTCCCCTCCCCTCCTCCTCTGCTGTCATGCACACACATTTTGGATCACACTATTGTGCCTTTGTCCCATTTTGAAGGGTTCTCTCTGAACTCCCAGTGACTCCCATGCTTCTGGGCTTATGGAAGTCCCACACTCCTATCTGCATCCACTACAGATATTTCTGTATTGTTTCCCACCTGCTGTGTTTTCCCTTCGTATTCCAAATTTTACGAGGAAGCCTAGAACACTCTTCAAGTAGATACTCACCTGCTTCACCCCTCACTTGCTCCACACTTTTGCTCCAATATCACCTACTCCGTGAGGCCCTCCCTGACCACCCGCCCACTCCCAGAATAGGGGACATGCCTTACTGGAGGGGTCACAGTCTGGCCGACGGTGAGACTGGGGCATGGACTGTCAGCACGGCGAGGCTCGAAATGCCTCGAGCGAAGGCACCGGGAGAACGCCTGCCGGCTGTTGAACCAGTGACGCCTGGGACTTGCTCTGGGTTGCCCGGCAATGAACCTGGAGCAAATGCTGCTTCTCTCCCAGCGGGAGGGTCCAGCCAGCGTTCCCAGGTGCTGGAAGGCTGGCCGTTCCGAGCTGACACCCACGCAGAAAACGGTTCTCCTATTCCAGTCTCTGCTCTCGTGCTTTCTTATGGACAGGAACAGCCTGGGCGACGGTTCCCCCTGAACAGCCCCTCTGCAGGAGCCGGCCCTGCCCCCGCCCCCTCTCTCCCCCTCCTACCTCCTGCCTCCCTCCCACCCCCCTCCCCAAGCTCTGAGGCTCTGAGGGCTGCCTGACAGGCCCTGCAGTCTGCTGACTTCTGCCCACGAGTTCCAGCAGCAAGTGACACTGTGCCTGCTGACCAGACAGAGGAGCTCACGGCCGGAAGGCCGCCTAGGAGGAGGTCAATGACCTCTCGAGTGGTTAGTCAGCGAAAGGAGCGGGCATAGGCTTTCAGTAAGGGCCTGGGTCTAACTTTTTCATTGTTATTCTAATCACCTTGTGTCTGGGCTTCTGAAATGCTCTTCACGAAAGCTGCAAAACACAACGGTTGCAGAAAATTCTTTCTGTAATTTTCCATGTTTCCTCTTGAATGGCCCCGTGCTATTGTTGTCCATTCTTTTCCTACCTCCTCTTTCCTCTCCATTTAGCACGAAGTATTTTTAAGGAGCACTTATTTAAAAGAGTATCTTTCGTGTTTTCACACCAGGTGGTCAGTGTTGAAATGTGTGGAGACACAACCACCTTGCTCTGGGTGGATGGTCCCCTGGGACGGCCATGCTGGAAGCAGGGGTACTGGGGCTCCATCCATGGGGACCACACCACTGGGCTTTCACCTGTGGCTCAGAATCAGGCAAACAGTCCTTGTTGCCCAAATGCTATCCCAACTAGAGCTGGAATGTGGGGAATGCAGTTCCTACCTAATTTTGTTATTTAAAATGCTCACCACGTGACTGGCACTAACTTTTTTTTTTTTATTGAATCCTCATAATTAATGTATGAGGTAGGCGATTAGGAGACCAAAGCACAGAGAGCTTAAGTAACTTGCCCAGGGCGTATACCTAACGAAATGGACGGGGCTGGTGTGTGCGGATGAGATTAAAACACAGGCAAAATCTGGTCACTGTTACTGGGAAGAGCTCAGAAGAGCACCTAACACAAAGGGAACCCTCCAGAGATGTTGCTGGTTGCTGCTGTTAGTATCCTAACATCGTTCTATTAAACAATGAGACCTGCAGTCCAGCAGCCCAAGGAGCTGAGCACTGCCTCTTTGGAGGTTTTCTTTGGTTTGACATGGTTATGTGTGTTACTCCACTGTCATATTATTCTCTGCAGTACTTTAGTCTTTAAGAAACACCAGGAAGTAATTTCAATAAAAGTCCAGATAAAGAGCAGAAGGTGGGCTCAGCAAATGCATTACCTTTCTTTGTAGTTGGGGCATTTTGGAGGAGATACTTCGACATGATGGAAATCCTGCTTCTCCTTAAACCTTCTCGCAGCGATTTTAGCATCAGGAAACAGTTGTCTCTTCTTATTATGCATTTGTTTACTTCTCCAAGAAGCCATGGTTCTATTTATTGTAGAACAATAACGATGCTTAAAACCCAGACTTGGTGTGCCACCCACATTAATCGCTACTAGATTGTTACTTGCCTGTAGGCCCTCTCGGCAGAGAGAGCGAGAAATATATATGTGTGCACATTAGCCCATACGTATAATACACATCTATGTCTCTATAGCTGTATGACTGTACATATATTTTGAAATATAAGTTTCTATTAACATTTCTGATTCTAATCCAGTATTTCTTTTATCCACTGGTGAGAACACTGGGTCTCATTTCTGACAACATGTTTTCTTCTTTGTTCAATTCTAGCAGACACATAAGTTACAGAATTGTGAACTCATATGCAGGAGAGAAGTACTTTTGCTAGATTACAACCTTCATATATAATTACCTTTATCTTTAGCCCAACCGCATGCATCCATGATACAGTTTTCCACATTTACTTGAGTTCTTCTTCTTCTTTTTTTTTTTTTTTTTTTTTTCATTATTGATTTTAGAAAGAAAGGGAGAGAGAGGGAGGGAGAGAGAACATCGATTGGCCACCTCCTACATGCCCCCCACTGGGGTTCAGGCCCACAGCCTGGGCATGTGCCCTGACCGGGAAT